TAAATATTGAATCCATCACTACTCAAGAAGGGCATTACATTTTACTTCTCCATGATACAAAAGATTGATGCATCCCTTAAACCATCATTTAAAGAAAAGTCTCTTTTGAAGATAAAAATTCGCAAAACTTAATACAAGAAATCAAGTTCAGAAACTAAAACTGATATACAGCCAACTGTGCTGCTATTCCACACACAATTGGATAATTAGGCTGATTGACAAACTGGAATGCAAAAAGTTTGACCTTTGAATCATATTTATTTTCGAGCAAGTCACACATAGTTCAGTTATTTTAATGTGACAAAATAATTGGTGCAACCCTGAAGATAGACCTGGAAAACATCTGGCTGAACCTATGCTACCACTAAATTTAGATCAGAAGATGTTGCAGCAAAGGGGTAAGGACTAGTAACTCTTTTAATAATGATCTACTGAGATATTTATTTGATGCTCTGTGGATGATTAGTAACTAATTTTGCCTTAATACTAGCTTTCTAAAGTATGCACCAACTCACCTCCTTCCTCCTCTCAGCTCTTGCTTCTCCATCTGCCTCAATACTATCCAGTTTAAGAAGCTGAATCATGAACAACTCGGTAAGCACCACAAATTCTCTGTCCTCAACTTTAGTACCTCTTTGCATAGCTTCCTCTATGGCCGAAACCTACAGGCACAAGAAGTACAATTTACATAATCAAGAATTCCTGCATCTGAAGGAAACCAAACAAAACCCTAAGGTTAGTTTCACGGATGGTCATCTGACTTACTGTTAAAAAGTCATAAAGTTAATTTTCCTAATAAAAAAATTCAATTATGCTTATACGTCACAGAAAATATAGAACGCCGAAAAATGCTAAAACCGTCCGAATCACAAGTTGACTGTAACTTCAACAACTCACCTTACATACTATTCACATAGAACCACTTTCTTTTGGGTGAAAAAAAAGACCATTCTTTGACCCTCTTAAAAAAAGTCAAAAGAAAAACCCATGATGTGCCACATAGTGCAAAACACCAAGTATTAATAGTTTTTAGTGGATATTATATTAGGCAACTTGCTGACGTGGCTATACTTGTATGACAATTTTAGATATGTGGCAATTATGTTTTCTGAGACCGAATTTGGCATTTTTCGGTGGTTTTCATTTTCTGTGATACATATGTATATTTGAGTTATCTTTCCAAATTAGATTTATAACTTTGGTACAATAAAATAAAAGTTGAACGATCATCCGCAACATTATCCCTAACTCTAGTGCCAACATTGATTTGCAAGAATACTTACATACCCTGTGTGAGAGCTTATCGACCTCTACTCTTACTCCTGCAACGGCTTCACAAGAGACAGAGGTATTTTGAATATTCTTCCTCTCTTTGCTCGTTGGATCCTCCAATACATTTGGCATGTCCTGTACACCAGCAATGTGTAAGAATTCATTGTTATCCTATTCTTTTCCTTGGGACAATAGCCTCTGAACTGTAGGATGCAGCCCAGTTCTATCAAAGAATTTTCTTCAGGCCCCACTCATTTGATTAACACAAATTAAAGCAATTAGTTCACAATCTTTTTTAAAAAAATAGCTAGTAAATATTGGCAGGGCAATATGTCAATATCTAGATTCAGTATCCAGAGTGTCACAATAGCTAATCAATGGCAGAGCAAGGATTTTTGCCAAGGGGAGTTTTAAAAAAACTGCAAGAATGTCACATCTGGGATCCAAACATGTAGCTCCGTCCTTGCTGCTAATTGCCACCCACAGGAATTAGTTATTCTTCCATACTAAAGTAAATTTAGGTTTTTACTTTAAATGACAATGTTGGTGGCTGCAGGTGCTTGTGGGAAGTCTACTGTCTAGCTAAAAATCAAGAGCAATCATAAACAATCAATTTAATAGCACATTCTTTGCAGATTTGGCGTTGTATATAAATCAGACAGATGAAGGTTCACATACTTTCCACAACCAAAACAAATAAAATTCTAGGCTTCATGTTTTACTTTCTTGAAGTTGAGAACTTAACTAACATGAGCAAATAATCAATAAGATCATGACATCAAGATATACCAGGTTAACTTTGCAAAAAAGTAAATATAAGATATATCAGGCTAACAGAACTATGAAAATCCCATCTAATTAAATAGGCTTCTAAATATCAACAACAAGGTCTCAATCTCAAGCAAGTTAGAGTCGGCTATTTGAATCATCACCGCAAAGAGTGTATGAAAATTGAGGCAACAACAACAACTACACCTCAGTCCCAAACAAGTAGGGGTCCGCTATATAAATTATCGAATCCCATTGACCATGTTTCTCTATTCAAATTCCTCTCGGGCCGATATTACACAAATTAAAAACAAAAATACTAGAAATTCTCTACTATTTTCTACTGGCATAAAAATTTATAATAGAGGCAAAGAACGAAAAGTAAACATCATAGAAAACTTCACGAAGTACCTCTTGGTGTAAACCCTGGGAAGCCATAAGCATGATCTTAGCACCATTTACAACCCCTGACGACTTCAATGTCATTCCATCCACCAAAACTTTCCCTGCCCATGAAAAACACACAAATTGATATACTTTCCTTTTTAGTCTGTCCACAAAATTCCAAAAGAAATGATACCTTTATATAATTAGAAACAATTTAACTCTAAACTTCATACTTTTTTAGCTTTAATGACATGATTTATAACCACAGAAATGTCAAATTACTTGTTTTAGACTACAAATTTAAAATTTGTTGCTGGCTTTCTTAAACTTCATGCCTTGTCAAATACCTTAATTACTGATATTCAGCACTTTGTATTCCAATTCAGTAAAAAATAAAGCTTGATAGGGTAGAATTGAAAGAAAGTAACCTTTGAAGATGAGTTTTTGACCGCGAGGGAGGACATTAGTGTGAGGTTGAAGGAGAGACTTGAGGTGTTTGACAGTGGACTCATCGGTGATTTCCACCGGTATCGATCGGCCGCTGAACTTAACGTTCACCGTTATCGTGCTCCGATTATCAGTATCGCTTGTGCCCTCTTTCTCCATTCCTCTGTCTTTCTCTTGTACTTCCTTTTGAGTTACCTTTTTCACGAATTTAAACAAAAATATCACATTGACTAAATTGTCCTTTAACGAGAAATTGGTTAAAATATCATGGTTATGAGAACTCGTGTTTGACTTCCGCTCACCGAGAAATTATTCATAGGAAGTGACTTCAATGGTCACATTGGGGCGACATCTGGGAGGGAGGGGTATGACGGTGTGCATGGCGGCTTTGACTTTGGAGTTAGGCATGGCAGAGGTACTTCGTTGTTGGAATGTGCTAAAGCTTTTGATTCGGTGATTGTCTACTCGTGTTTTCCGAAGAGGGGAAGAGCACTTGGTTACTTTCCGGAGTTCGTTGGGCAAGACTCAAATTTATTATATACTCCTCCGGAAGTGCGATAGGAGTTTGTGCATGGATTACAAGGTTATACCAAGTGAGAATCACATGACTCAGTACAGATTATTGGTGATGGATTTAGAGATCACGAGGAAGAGGAGGAAGAGGGTCGTGTATGATCAACCCAGGATCAGGTGGGATGCTTTGACTAGTGACAAAGCACAGGAGTTGGAGGGGAGGGAAGTTGTTGGCTATGGGAGCCTGGGGAGCAATGGGGATGCAAGCTGTATGTGGACCATGACAGCGGAGTTATTAGAGTAGCTGCGAGAGAAGTGTTAGGGGTCTCGAAGGGTTTCTCTAGCAGCCACAAAGGTGACTAGTGGTGGAGTGGGGAGGTACAAGAGAAAGTAGAAGCCAAGCAAGCGATGTACTTAACGCCTATAGAGAGCATGGACAAGGAGGCGAGAAGGAAGAACAAGGAGGGGTATAGGAGGGCTAAGAAGGAGGCGAAGTTAGCGGTTACTGCGGCTAAGATTGCGGCGCTTGGGCGTTTGTATGAAGACCTTGGGACCAAAGGCGGGGATAAGAAGCTATACAGGCTAGCCAAGGTGAGAGAGAGGAAGGCTCGTGATCTGGATCAAGTTAAGTGTATCAAAGATGAGGAAGGTAGAGTTTTGATGGAAGAGGCTCAGATTAGACGAATATGGCAGACATATTTCTATAAACTCCTGAACGAAGGGGGTGATATGGACATTGTGCTGGGCAACTTGGAGCACTCCGAGATGCACCGGGATTTCGGGCATTGTAGGCGTATAAGAGTAGAAGAGGTCGAGGGGGCTATGCGGAAGATGCACAGGGGTAGAGCTATCGGGCCAGATGAAATACCTGTAGAATTTTGGAAGAATGCGGGTAGGGCAGGTTTGGAGTGGCTCACTAGGCTGTTCAACGTTATTTTTTGGACGAAAAATATGCCCGATGATTGAAGGTGGATTACGATGATTCTTCAATATAAAGACAAGGGCGATATCAAAAGTTGCAATAATTATAGGGGGATTAAGCTGCTAAGCCATACTAGAAAAGTTTGGGAGAGGGTGGTTGAAGTGAGGGTGAGGACCAGTGTGTCCATTTCTGAGAACCAGTTCGGTTTCATGCCGGGGCGTTCAACTATGGAAACCATTCACATTGCGAGGAGATTGGTGGAGCAGTATATGGAGATGAATAAGGACTTGCACATGGTGTTCATTGACCTAGAGAAAGCATATGACAAAGTTCCAAGAGAGGTGCTCTGGCGATACTTGGAGGCTAAAGGGGTCCCAGTAGCCTACATTAGGGTGATTAAGGACATGTATGATAAAGCTAAGACTCGGGTTAGGAAAACGGGAGGAGACTCGGGACACTTTTCGGTTATGAAGGGGTTGCACCAGGGATCAACTCTTAGTTCATTCTATTTTCCTTGGCGATGGACACATTGACGAGACACATTCAAGGTAAGGTACCATGGTGTATGTTATTTGCTGATGACGTAGTTTTAATTGACGAGACGCGGAGTGGTGTTAACGTGAGGCTGGAGGTTTAGAGGCAGACCCTAGAGTCTAAGGGTTTCAAGTTGAGCAAAACCAAGACGGAATACATGGAGTGCAGGTTCAGCAAGGGTACCCAGGAAGGGGATATGGAGGTGAGGCTTGATATGCAAGTCATCCCCAAGCGAGGTAGTTTCAAGTATTTTGGATCTATAATACAAGGTAACGGGGAGATTGATGAGGATGTCACGCATCGTATTAGAGCAGGATGGATGAAGTGGAGGCTCGTTTCCGATGTTTTGTGTGATAAGAATGTATCGATGAGACTTAAAGGTAAGTTCTACCATGTTGTATTAGACAAATTATGTTGTATGGAGCAGAGTGTTGGCCGGTCAAAAACTCTCATACCCAACAACTAAAAGTAGCTGAGTTGAGGATTTTAAGGTGGATGTGTAGGCATGCCCGATTGGATAAGATTAGGAATGAAGTTATTCAGGAAAAGGTGGGAGTGGCCTCTGTGGAGGATAAAATACGGGAGGCGAGGTTGAGATGGTTTGGGCATGTTAAGAGGAGAAGTATAGAAGCCCCAGTTAGAAGGTGTGAGCGGTTAGCCTCGGTGGGCAGCAGGAGGGGTAGAGGTAGGCCTAAGAATTCTTGGGGAGAGGTTATTAGGCGGGAAATGGCGCAGCTGGAGCTGACTGAGGACATGGCCCTGGACAGGAGGGTGTGAAGGTCTATGTTATATTTTATTCATAGTTGACTATTACTACCTAGAGTTTGACTGCATTCTTGGATTCGATCTTATTTCATCTTGCTGTTATTCCTACTTGTTGTAATTACCTTTTCTTTTTCAGTAGTTCTCTAGCCGAGGGTCTATCGGAAGCAGCCTCTCTGCCCTTCCAGGGGTAGGGATAGGCTCCATACATCTTACCCTCCCCAGACCCCACTCGTGAGAAACTACTAAGTTTGTTGTTGTTGTTGGTGGTGGTGGTTATGAGAAGATATCACATTTACGAATTAACCTTGAAATTGGTTAAAATATCATGGTTATGAAAAATATTTTTGAATGAAAATTTATATTCTTTAATTACGACAAAATGATGAATTTCTTTTTTTTTTAGATTCATGCCATATATGTTAGTTTAGTACTGTAAATGTTGGGTATGAATAAATACATTCTTTTTTTCTTTTAAATACTCCCTAATGATAGCTAATAAATACAATTGAGAAATGATCTTAATATTCTAAAGCAGAAATTCTATCGTTTTAAAAGTCACAACTATTAGAACAAGACAATAATTACTGAAATTTTCGAAAGATTTTAAACACCTCTCAATTATCAAATGATGATAAAATTTTGTCCTTGTGAAACTCATTTCTAGAGCTACAACAATAGAAAAAGATCCCGTGCATTCTCTATATTTTAACACCTTTTACTTCTCATGATTTTAACCTAATCACAACAACAACAACAACAACAACAACATACCCGGTATTATTCCACTACTGAGATTTGGAGAGAGTAGAGTATACGCAGACCTTACCCCTACCCCGAAAAGGGTAAAGAGACTATTTCTGGGAGATTTTATCCTAATCACTGGGGAAATATTCGCATTCAATACTTTTAGTCTGGACAGTTAGTTTGCAAAAGGTATATAAATTAAGAAGAAAAAAGTTTTTCAAAAAACATATTTATTTTAAGTTTTTTTTTTAAAAAAAACGATTTCTTTTAAAGTTCTTTAAAAAAAGCATTTCCGATGGAGAATAACAAAGGAGGCGGTTGAAAAATCTTGTTTCACTTACAAAATACTACGACTGTTTAAACAAGTTATCTTTTTTCACAAACTATTTTTTTCTTAAATTTTTCCAGAAAACTTTTCCCAATATTGTGCAGAACAAAGAGCAAAAATTTAAAGAAGGATTCCCTTGCCGGGACATGAACCCGGGTCTTTCGGGTGAGAGCCGAATATCCTGACCAACTAGACTACAACGGATTTGTACTTCAGCTTGTGCTCAAGTTTTAAATATCAAATCAAAAATCCAAGCAAAGCACTACCCATTTTTTGGGTTCAGCAGTAGGAAAAGAAATAAGAAAGAGACCTATCACCAAATTCAATAACATGTTTTAGGATATTTTTCTCTAAAATATGAATTTGATCAAGTTTTTGGTCGTTTCATGATTAAATTGTCGAACCACAAGAAGGGAGGAGAGTGGACGAGAAATTTCACCTCAATTACCTTATAAAATGACAAATTCGGCAGTTACTATTCTTGATATTCTTCCTTTTTGGATGACTATTAATATTTGAAGAGTCAAACAATTAATTTTAACCAAATTTTTTAAATATTTTTCAATAATAATAGGTTTTGAACTTTGAAGTATAGTAATACTCCTACTTTTTATCTAATTTCTAATTACGTAAATTTTACTTTGCAATATTAACAATTTTATATTTGAATTGAGACCGAAAACAAAAAGATTTTGACTCTTTGCTCCGAATTTATTTCATTCTCTCTTTAAGCCAAAGGATTATATGCAAAATCGATACATCACGTTGCCTATTAAGTAAAAATGATTTCTTTTGCAAATGTGATAAAAATAGCGAATGAAGAATACAAAGGAAAGACCAAGAGCCTGTTTGGATTGACTTAAAAAAACTAGCTTTTCAGCAGAAATAGCTTTTAAGCCAAAAAACAGTAAGTTGGGATTGTCCAGCTTACTGCTTTTGGCTTGTTTTAAGCAGTTTTTAACTTATTTTAAGAACTTTTTGACTTTGCCAAATACTGAAAAAAGCTAAAAAGAGCTTAAAAGCTAATTTGATCAGCTTAAAAGCCAATCCAAACACCCTCCAATTCAGTTTCCTTTTAAGTGTTCTTTATTGAGATAAAGTTGTAAAATGAGAGGCTCTCATCTAGGGGCAGAGCTAGAAGCTAGTGTACGGGTCGGTCGACCCCAATAATTTTAATCTTTGCTAAATGTGTACAAAAATTAAATTTAGGATTCAATTACTAAAATCTGATATCGCTATTTTAGTATTTAGAACACATAAAGTTCAAATTGTGGTTTTGCCTTTGCTCCCATCTCATGTAAGGTTATCTTGTTATATACATACATTTTCAAACTTTTTATATATAAAAAAATGTTTGGTGTGCGAACAAAGTCCCACATTGGTAGCTAAAAAGATTGGGAGTCTACATATAAGGTGTAGGGATCTCTTAATGGTGTGAGGCCTTTTGGGGAAAACCGTACGGGGTTGGCCCAAAGCGAACAATATCACACCATATGCAAGAAGAATGTGTTAAAAAGACAAGCATTTCACATGAAACTCATAACTAAGAATTAATCAGTCAAACAGTTCCCACTCCTGAGTGATTTTTGTGGATTGTTGTAATCGATTTGGTGGAGACGTTTCCCATTTGGTAGTCACCAATGAAGTACCAGCACAATTGCTAATAAGGTTAGAGTTTCTTGCCTTAAAATTGTCGAGCATATCAATGAGACTCTGAATGCGATGAACCTGTCAAGATATGGAGAAATAGATAGTCAGACATTCACAGCAAATCCAAAATTTAGAGTCAGTATATTCTGCTTTTTATATGTGAATTTTATTTTTAAATACACATATGTATGAGGTAAAATTGATGAATGACACGTGGATGCTCGCCAAGATGACACGTGGCAGTAAAGATAAGTAAAATATGAGTCAGCAAATAACTGGCACCAGTTACGAACATGTGACCAGTGTTGTGTGGGTTTTGAAGACGCTAAAATCGGGGACAAAAGTTTGAAAAGAAAATATCGGTTGGAGGAGGCAACATTCAAGGAGCGACCGCATTTATACTCAACCGTTATGCAACCATAAAGAGGGGTCTTTACTCATATTAAAGAAGAGCTTGATTTGGGGATCTCGTCTCTCTGAATTTAGCTAAAAATATAGGAATTTGTACTCATTGTAAGCACGAAACATCTGTACGTAAAAAAAGATTAAACTTACTCTTATTCTATTAACAACATTCTTTCTTTCTGCTCTATACACTATTTTAATTCTTGCTTCCGGAAAAGCTCATTTCACAGTCAGGCTTGTATTTTCTTTAAGTCTCTTTAATTAATTTATTTCTGTTCTTAGTTATTTTGTACTCTTGGATCAAATTAATTCACGTATCTATAAACCACGTTACAAATTCAATTGTACTGTTGTTTAGTTATAGTCAAATGCATAAGTGTTTAGTCTAGATCCGCCATCGCAGAATCAAATTAGTCTATTTGAGGTCAAGAATTCTTCCCCTATGTGCGTTAAAGTTTTTGACATGGACTTCATTTTGTTTAGCCTAAATCAGATAGACGGTAAATTCCATGTCCTCAACTTTCATACCTTTCTGCACAGATTCCTCTATGGCAACAACCTACAAGAGAAAACAAACAAACAGAACTCTAGGGGTTAATTTCATGGATGATCATCCAACTTTCCGTTTACTATACCGAGGTTATAAAACTAATTTTCTAAGCGGAAAATAACTCAACTATACTTATATATCATAGAAAATAAAAAGCGCCAGAAATGCTAAAGCTAAATTTTGACATGTCTTTTACACCAGCAATGTGTAAGCATTCATTGTCATCCTTTTCTTTTCCTTGAAATAATAGTCTCTGAACTGTAGGATGTAGTCCAGTTCTGTCAGTAAGAATTTTCTTCAGGTCCCCTTCATTTGATTAAAACAAATCGACTAAGTCACAAATTAATTGTAGAAAAAGAAATTAGCTAGTAAATATCGGCAGCGGGCAGTGGCAGAGCCATAAATTTCATCAAGGGTGTTAAAATATAAACAAGTAAGTACGCGAAGAAACTAATGGAATTCAACCTTTGGAGTAGTATATAATTATAAAAATAAAATTTTAACCAAGCTAGTAGCTAAATAGTATAATTTTCCTACGAGGGAATATTAATGGACACCCCTTAAGCTAAAATTAACTAATATAAGTACATAAACATATGGGCACCCCTTAAGCTAATATTAACTAATATAAGTACATAAACAAAGAAGATGTCATCAAGATATACTGGGAATACGATATTATGAAAATCCCATCTAATTAAGTAGGTTGTTAAGTATGATGAACAACAAGAATAATAAAAATTACGTGTCTCAATCCCAAGCAAGTTGGCGTCGAGCTGTCGACTACATGAATTCTCATTGTTCCTGTCACTCCACTTAAGTTCATCTCAATTCAATATTAGTTACATAAAAAAATCAATATTACATTATACAAAATAAAAGTAATATTAGAAGTTCTTTTTATTTTACGAATTGTGGTGGTTAACCTACTACAACCTTTCTCCTTTAATCCGGCTTGAGACCGGCAATTTGAACAAACTTAGACAGATAGAGTACTCTCTTAAGTATGATCAACAATATTAATATGCAAAAACTATGGATTATCAAGTGATTTACCAAATGTTGATTCAGCTGGAACAGTGAGATTATGGTAACAAGAATCATAAGATGTTGGGTTTGTTATTTAATAAATAATAACAAAAGAGGTATGAATGGAAAATGGTGGGAAAAGAAATGGAGAGATGACCCGCGACCCAGTCCGGTCTAGCTCGTTTTTCTTTCCCGAATTAATTTAAATTCGTTTTAAATTTCCCGCAAAAATTTCCAACAGCCATGGCTGTTCTGAAACAGTGTCACACCTGTTCCAACAGCCATGACTATTCTGAAAAGTTGCAA